GAACAAATTTTTTTTTCCGAATTTCGACCTGAACATTTTTTTGGGTAGGGGAATTATGTGTAGGTTGACCCGCACTAATCATTTTCGTCATAACTTTTTATGGAATAAAGATAAATGCACACTTGATATACCATTGGAAAAAGAGCCGAAAAAGCTACAATTTGATTAGGAAATTCATTAGCTATGGTTGTAAAAACAAAATATTTCGGTCAATTTTCTAAGAGGCCTGATTTTTGGCAACAAAATTTTTTCTTTGTAAGTTGACCCACCCTATTTTTTTTAGAAAAACATGCAGTATTAACACTCAATATATGAAATTCATTGAATTTCGTTGGATTTTCAATCGTTTTTGGTCTGTACAACTACGAAAAACAATGAAAAAATTTAGAAAAATATAGAAATTGTAAAAAAAATACATATTCTCTATTTTTTCATATTTCATCGATTTTTTCGTGTTTTTCAAGTTCAAAAACGATTGAAAATTCATTAAAATTCAATGAATCTCGTATATTGAGTGTTTACGCTGAATAGTTGTCTCATTTTCCTGATTTTTTTTCGGGTGGGTCAACTTACAAAACTGGTCGACATTTCAATATGCACGGAAAGAATTTCGCCATGTAACGATATGTGTGAAATGACTTTGGATTATGAAAATACACGAAAAACTAGTAAAGAAAGTTTATACTCGCTTTGCTGATATCTTTGAAATTGTCTACTTGAAGATGGTCCGAAAAAATTTAGTTTTTATAAAAATGATTTTTTTTGCAAAAAATTTTTATGAGCCGATCCGAGCGTTTAAGAAGCGTATTTACTCTTGGGAACTACTTTTATATTGGTTTTTGACGTTTCTAAATCGATTGAGACTAGCCAAATTGACGATTTGTCGGTCAAAATACAAAATCGGCGGGGTGGGTCAACTTACAAAGTGGGTCAACTTACACATACTCCCCCTACGTTTCGAACAATTTCGAACAGCAAATTTTTTCGAACACGAACGTTTGTTCGAACTTGTTCGTTCGAAAAAAAATTTTGTTCGAAATTGTTCGAAACGTACCCAAAAAATTTTTCAGCTCGAAATTTGGAAGAAAAAATTTGTTCGAAAATTGTTCGATTGACACCTCTACGCATGATGGAAAATCTGATATCGATGGTGATGAACTATTTCTATAACTTGCATTGGTTTCAACTTTAGTGAAACAAGATAATATTAATCACGCAATCGATATACTAAATTCAATTTAGAAGCGAAAAATGGAAAACTTAGTTCCAAGTGCAGTTACTGCGCTTCACATACTGCTGGCGATCCCATTTCGCGTTGCAACGAGAGAGCGATCATTTTTAAAGCTTAATTTGACTAAAACTTATCTCTATTTGCATTTCTATGCAACAGGTCAAGATAGGCTGAATCATCTGGCAATCATATCAATAGAAAGCGATGTAGCAAATTTGATTCAATATGACAACAAGAAAAAATACATTCTTATGTAGTAAGTCATTTTAATGTATCGTTCTTTTGTTGCTTTTCAAAGAGAAATTGGACAAATTTGATCATTTCTACGTTTTTTTCACTTCCCTTTAAAATTCCAGCTTGAAAGGGCGCCAAAGGATTTTGAACCAGGGCGCCAGCGAAGCTAGGAAAGGCTCTGCTTTTAGATAAGTTTTTCACATAATTATGTGAAAATTATATTTTACAGCATAAACATTCATACATTGTGAAGTTACTTTTATTGTCGTATTTGTTTGCTATTTTACAGAGATTACTATGGGATATTTTTATTTATAAGGGATAAAAATATCGCATAAAAATAACAGATATTTTTCACGCGTTGCGTTCAGCGAAACGCATAAATACACAATAGCGATTCTGCACACACAGAGTCGCTGTTTTTTCGTTATACTCTTCACACTTACGATGAGCTGCGCGGAGCGTGCACGCACATGTTTTGCTCACTTCTTTCTCTGAACACTCTTCGTGTGTCAACACAATGTCTGTGTGTGTATCGCTTGTGCCGTCGTTTGAAACGACGTCAATATGCCCGTGTCACATTTTACCCCGTCTTCCCCATTATTTTTATAGAAATTTTTCATTATAAAAGACGATTTGATTTCAGATGAACGACAAGATGTACAAAAGAAAACATTCACCAAGTGGATTAATTCACAATTATCTAAAACAACGTGTCCTCTGGTAATCGATTTGTTCGAGGATCTGCGTGATGGGCACAGGCTTCTATCCCTACTTGAAGTTCTTACAAATCAACAATACGTAAGTGGGATACTAAATTTGAACCAGTACATTGATACGAGTGAGACAATCTTAGTCGTGTGTAAGAAATCAGAATTCTTTCAGGAATTTAACTATCTCTTTCAATTGGAAAATACGATTTCCTTGACGTGTGTGTGGAAACAAACTTTACACTCAATTAAATGAATAAAAAAAACACGAGCCCAGAAAAAAAATATGTCCATCGAATTTTTCTTTATAGATATTTCTCTCTTTCAAATAGAAACGCGAAAAAGGTCGCATGCGTGTACACCATATCAATAATGTGAATAAAGTGTTACAAGTACTTAGCGAAAATGGAGTGAAATTGTTAAACATTTCGAGCGAAGATATCGTAGGTAGGTACAATATCGTAATATTTTTTATCTATCGATGCAAACTGAACACTGGGATGATTATAATTACAAAATTGTAGGTGGAAATCCAAAGCTGACGTTGGGATTAATATCAATAATTGCTTTGTGCTTCGATGGTAAAAAATTGGTGAATTCTGAAACAGTCAGTGGATTGGAAAAGAACCTCCTGAGATGGGTGGAGAAATTCACCGAAAAATATCAACTGATGATTAACGATTTCACAACGAGCTGGTCGAGTGGTTTGGCTTTTTTGTACATTTTACATGAGTTTGGCATTGACTTCGATTTGGAATGGGCAAAAAAACAACACCCAATTGCAAGGTAAAGTGATTGATACCTTTTTAAATATGGATAAATTTATATTACATTTCAAATTTTCCAGACTGCGTTTGGCGTTTGATTTGGCGACACGATATCTTCGAATCGATGCTTTATTGGATCCAGAGGATGTTAACACAAACAAACCGGACAAAAAATCTGTTCTGATGTACGTCATGTGCTTATATCAAGCAATTGAATCACTTCAGTCATCACAACTTTCGAACGCACCTAGCATTCATATGCTTGATCAGCACTTTGAAGGCAGCTCAGAAGAAATAAATCCGACATCTAGTGATGATACTCCACAGCCAAGCACTTCAAAATACCTTCCAGCTGAAACTGAATCCAAAACTCCAACTGGTCCATTGAATATTGTCAATTCGACGGACTTAGATGAAGTTTCTCTGGCAAAATCCATTGAAGACTTAAGTAGTAATTTTCCAGTTCAGCGCAGCCGTACCTTTACTATTACCAAAAATGAATCAATTAATTTGACGGTTGCTGACACTGAAACGCCCGATGTGGACGATGAAAATAACAAAACAAACGACTTCCAAACTTTCCTCGAGGCTCATTCACGACCAGTTTCAACGGCAACAAATAGCCTCATTTGCTCCCCTACAGAAATCGTTGGCTACCAAAATGCAATTGAAATTGTGCTAACGCTTTTGCTGGAAGCTGAGGAAATGTTATCGAAACCACCATTGCCCGATATCAAGGAGCTATCCGACGCAAAGGCTCGTTTCCAAGCACACGAAGAATTTATGATAAAACTGTCAGAATATCAGGAATACGTAGGTAAGATCGAATCGACAATATTCTTAGTAAATTGTGAACATTTTTTACATTGAATTACTAATGGAAAAAATGTTGTTCGGACCGAGCAGAGAACGAACACAATGTCGAACGAACAAACGAAAAATATTTTTTTTACTTTTCCGTACACACCGTGCCAAGGGAAAGTATACGAATTGGTCCCGAAAACTTTTTTCGCAAAATTGGTTTAGATCATCATAAAAACTCATGAAACGCGTAGAAATTACATTTTTGGAACACCTTTCCATCGTTTTCGTCGTCGTACGTTGTCGTTGGTGTTTGTTCACACGATAACTCGAAAAAAATCCAGATAATTAAAATCGGGAAACTTAGTTTAAGTTCAAAGATGAGCCATTTTCGATTTGACCCTAGGGTACTTGGCCCAAGAAATCTTCCAAAAAATGACAATTTTGTATGGGAGGTTCCCGTAAATCGATTCCGATTGGCTTCAAACTTTCTCAGGTTTCATTTTATGGAGAAAAAATAAGATTCTGAAAGTTTGAAGCCAATCGGAGTCAATTAACGAGTACTTCCCATATGAAAGTGTCGAAATTTCGACAAAAATGGCCGATTTTCACTAAAAAATTGCCTTTAATTCAAGCAAATTAAAAAAAAAGTACGGAAAACTCGGGATTACGAATGTAATTCTTTTTATTCAAATTGTCGAACATACGAACAAAAACGTTTTTTAAAATCATGTCGAAAGAACGATCGAACGTTCGAAGCCAACACAAGGGGTGGATGACCAATGGGCCGAAATCCTGAACATAAGATCCCATGAATCTTTATTTTTGGACATTTTGATTGACTCTGCTAAATAGTCTACCGTCAAACTTTGTCTCACTCACACTGAGTCGTTCGTGTGCGATTTGCTGTTAGAGTGAAATATTATTCACAGGGGACTCAGTTGAAACGTTATTATATCTATTATATTATGTTGACATTTGATTTTTATATTGTAAAATTTATTGCAGGTGGTGCTCTTGAAGAAGGTGCTCGTTTACTGTCAGAGCCAATAAACAGCACAGGCCTAACGGTCGAAGATAAAAGTGAGATAAAACAGCAGATGCTCTTGTTGAATGAACGATGGGAATTGTTACGAATTTCGGCCCTTGACGTTCAGTCTTGTGTCCATTCGAAGTTAGCTGAAGTGCAAACACAGAAAATTGAAGATTTACGTGGACTTCTAACCAACACAGAGGATCGTATATCTCGAATGTTAGATATTGATCCTAGCCCTGATGCTATGTCTCAACAAATCCGAGAACACAAAGAGTTGGAAGCATCGCTGAATGAACAAAAGGGACTAGTAGACGAATTGAGCAATTTGGTGGTGATTGTTAATGACGATTCGTTCATAGATTTAGAAGACAGATTGTTAGCATTGGGAGAGCGATGGACACATGTGGTACAATGGACAAAGAATCGTTTCCAGAAATTACAAGAAGTTCATTGGAACTGGAAGATATTAAACCGGCAATTCGAAATAACAAATGAATGGATCAACGTTCGTGAGAATGATTTAAAACAAATGGAATCACATGACGTTAGCGCAATCGGAAGTGTTATGGAACGAATAAAAAATCTTCGCTTCTGTGCAATGGATTTGAATGTTCTATACGACAGTTTGGTTCGCTTGGAAGAGATTGCACAAGTATTAAAACCAGCAAGCATAAAACTCTTGGAGCAACTAGAAAATAAACAAGACCGTTGCGAGGCACTGAAAGAAATCGTAGACGTGCAACAACAACGCATTGAAGGAATGGGATTCGATTTCAACATTGACATTTCGGATAATGAAAAATTACCGAATAACTGGACTGACTTTCAGTCAAAGTTCAACAGTCAAAGTCTAATGGAATTTGGAGAACCTGATGGTTCGATACAAAGAGAGAAAGAACAAGACGATCCACCTCAGTCGAAAAAAAAGCAAAAATTTCAACCATCTGAAAAATATCAGCAGCTTAACAAATGTCTAAAAGATATGAACAACTTCGTTGCATTGGGGGAAAAGATATTATCGGAATTCAAAAAAAATCCTACACTAAGAGAAGAAACAAGTGCCTTGGAAAATCTGCAAATTCAATTAAAAATGAGTATAAATGAATATCCAAAAATTAAAATTCTTTTAAATGATTGCATCGAAGAGGACGGTCATGATTTGCCAGGAGAAACAACTGAAATAAGTAACATTGGCACTAAATACGACGAACTGAATTTCCGCATAGAACACATGCTTGAATTAAACGCGAAAGCAACAATGAAAGAAACGTTCAGTCGAAATCTAACCGGCCTGAAATTGGTACTCGCTGACTGTCAAGACTGGTTCAAACAGTATGCTAATCTGAACTCTTCGACTCAAGAAGAGCTTGAAAACAGACTTTCTTATATGGAATCATTGAGTAGCGAGATCGATGATGCTCAGGATTTCTATCGGAATTCAGAGGACAAAAATGATCTAAGTGAATGGAAACAAAATTTTGATCAATTTTATCAAAGTTGGAAAGACGTTAAAAGAGCAATAAAAAGATTACTTTGCGATAAGTTCGAGACTGTACAAATTGATGACGATTCCGAATTACTGGAAACCCTACAAAATCCCGAAATGGAAAAGTTTGATGCCGTTCATGCCGAAGCAGTAAAGGCCAGTGTGATTGTGTCTAGTTTAGAAAAAATGCGAGCTAATTTACACCGATTGAATGAATTGAAACCAATCATCATTGAAATTGGCACCAATAAAGCGGTGAAGAAAAACCCAATAGAATTTGACAAATGGAAAAAATTGGCAACGGCGATTGAGGAACTTATTATGAAACAAACAACATCAATCGAAAATGTGATTCATTTCATGACTGAATTTGAAGAGGTCGTAAAATTTCTTTCAAACCTCGAAAAAACTCTCACTAATGATTTATTTGTGTTGGGTGAAGAAGATGAACTAAAGCACCAAGAGCAACAATATGAATCGAATGGCATGGAAATTAAGAAAATTGAAATTGATATAATCAGTGTGAAGAATTTTAGCGAAATAATTGTACGCGAGTCCACAGATAATGAACAGAATTTTTTCTTGCTGAATCAAATTAAATCTCTTAACAATCTTTACACAAGCGTCAAAAAAACATTCCAAACAAATAAAAAAGCGTTGCAACAAGCGTTGGAACAGACCTCAAATATTTATCAAAGAATCAATGATGTTGAGCTGTGGCTCAATGAACTAGAATTATCAACTCCGACCATATATAATGCTGATATCAAATCGTCAAACCAATTATTTCAAATTCGAAATAAATTCCAGTCCCTTAAAGAAACATGTGAACAGAAGACAGTCGAATTTCGGGAATTAAACGATGTGGGAAACGAAATGTTGTTGCGTATCGACGAACAATTGACAAATCATCCAATCTACAGATGCAAAAATGGCACAAAATCCACGCTGGCGAAACAATTCACCAAATTGAATGCTAAATGGAATGAAGTAACCACACTTGTGTATAATCGAACTGCTTTGTTGGAGCATATATCCAGTCAACTTGGGGAATTGAAAACGTTAATTGTATGCGAGACCGGCTATTTGGACAAATTAGAAAAATGCTTACGAAAAAGTCCAGGAAATGCAGCCGATGCAGAGGAAATCTATGAAGAGCTTGACGTAATTTGATCTTAAGCAAAAAGATTCTCTAACGAAATTTGAAACAAACTTTTTCTGTTATTTTTTTTCATAGGACCTGGAAAACAGCATTAGAAACCATTCGGAGAAGCGTCTAAATAAAATAAAGGAACTTGGTAACGAATTAATTGGGCACAATTGTATGGCTGAGAGTATAAAGGTTGACGTAAAATCAGTAATCGATCGATGGGACATACTGCAACATAAGGTGAGATATCTGTATAGATACTATTCGTGAGTATTGCAATTATAATTTGAACCGTTGCGACAAACAAATTCCCTCGGAATATTTTAGTTTCAAAGTGCAACATGATTTTTTTTTATATAGAGTTCACAACAACAACTCCATATGAAAAAAAATTCATGTTGCACTTTAAAACTAAAATATTCTGAGGGAATTTGTTTGTCGCAACGGTTCATTTATCTATGTGTGACATGTGGATTTTACATTTGAATTTTCTTTCTTTTCAAATAATTTTTGTTATATGCAACTGTCACGGTGACAATGTCACCAAAACTCATCACTCCCTCTATGCTTGGTTATATTCGGCTAAATTAAATGCATTTATTGTTCTGAAATTTTATGATCCCTCTTTAAATTAAAACTTGAAGGGTAAGCAACGACAAATGATGTTAGAAGGCTTGATTACAGAAGCTCAAACTTCCGAAAGGCGTATACAAAATTTTCAACACTGGATTAAAAATGTAGCTGAGTTACTGAATGAACATCTCGATAATGACACTACGGCCAATGATTTACCGCATGATTTTCAGGTTAGAGCCGCCAGCTAATTTCTTTTTCAACATTTTTAATCCATAACAGCATGATGTTATTCATATCTTTACGCTTTAAATGTTACACACACAGAAATAATTTAATACTATAATTTGAGGTCTGAATTCGCACCCAAAGTTTTTTAGCAAATAGGGAAAAAATTGTTGACAGAATTGTTTCTCAGTAGTACCGTTAAATTTGAGTGTTTAACGGTAATTATCACACCCAGAATTTACTCGAGATACATCCGATTTTGACCGTAAAGAGGGTAAAATAACAGCTAAATATAACTCCGGATTCTCCACAAATTTAACCGTAATATTCACAGATTATATTTGTTACTTGGGTTGTACTTTGTTTATAGATACTGTAGGGAAACGAGAATTATCATTTTTTTATTGTGATTGGTGAAATTTTATAACCCCCCCAGAAACATGAATCCTACTCATTTTTAAAGCACGAAATTTTTTTTTCATCTATTTATTTACACCGCCGAAAACTGGCTGAATATTTTGGTTTGCAGGAAAACGACTCCAAGAGTCATGAAAAACCTGGTCTTTTCGTGTTTGTACAATACAGAGTATTTTCATACAATACTTAGTTATAGTAGTCTTTCTCGATTTGAATTAAGGTTTGGTCTATAAACTTTAACACAAACAAACCTAACCATTACATGGAAATGAGTAGGAAGCCGAATTGTCAACGGTTCAAAATAATCTAACAACGCGTTTAAGAAAAGATAAACTGACGCTGCGTTTCCTTCATAAGCTCCCATATAAAAAAAAATACCGAAGCGATACTGGTGTTACCAAGTGAACTATTTGACAAACACTCTTTCGAATTCGCCCAAGTTTGACATAATGTATACATGTATATACACATCCGTTGGATGTTGAACTACTATTTGATTTTATTTGAAAAAAAAAACGTCGATCTATGCAAGCAACACGTTCGTTTTTATTCCATTGAAACTTTTTTTAAATGTAATCCAAAAATAAAACAAACGAATATTCATTGCTCGGAACGGTTACAGCTGGTTACAGCAAATAGAACAAATGTTATTCGATGTTATTGTGAAATCGTTCACTTGTCAACTTGACATATGCTGTTCGCCCGAATTCGCTTCAACAGCCCTAATATGGAACGACCGATGGAAGGTGGAATGTCAACAAACGGAATGACATTTGTTCAACTTCGTTGTGACTTTGTATACGAAAACACGCGAAAACAATACACAAATTATTTCGAATATTAAAAGAAATAAAATGATTATTTTATTGGTTTTAATTTTTTTTTTTTATTGTTTATTCTTTTTCTTCCTCTATACCTAAACTAACATCATATCGGTTGCGATCAAGACGGTTCAAGAAGAATATTCAACGGATTTAACTTTGGAATCTGACATACACACACAGAAAAGAATCCCCGGAAATTTTAGGTGTTCGCCGTAAAATTTGACATTTATATATAAATTTCTATATACATTTTACCGGCAACACTTCAATTTTCCGGGCGATGACATAATTTCGAACATTTTATCAAATAATATATATATTTTACCGCTTGAAATGACAGATGGCGCTAATTTCTGTTGAAATATTTGAAATTATGTCATCGCCCGGAAAATTCAAGTGTTGCCCGTAAAATGTATATAGAAATGTATATATAAATGTCAAATTTTACGGCTAACACCTAAAATTTCCGGGGATTCTTTTCTGTGTGCAGTGTTTATTATATGTCATTATAGTTCACTTGGTAGCACCAGTAGCGTTAGCAATGCGGGCACGGGAGTAAACACAGCGTCGAGATAAACTAACTGGAGCGTTTTAGAAGAAAAGTCTTACGTCTAGTCTAACAAGTCCTTGTTGGTAGATATGAATTTACAATTTAGTACGTAGGGACCGAAAGACAAAAAAAGTATTCTGATTTTCGCAAATACATTGACACAAAAGCTAGTTTCCATTATAAAGTAATAACAGGTCAAAAGTTAATCACCAACTCAAAGATGGCTATTACACAGTCAATGTTGCTAACTATTTTAAAGTTTGTGTAAAATCAGCATCATTAATCTTATACATTCTGTAGGGATGTAAGATAACAATTTGTCAATATTTCATATTAACCCTCTGATCGTTTGTCGGGCGTACAACGCCCGAGGTGACCTTGAACTTCGAATAACAGTACCAAAAACCGGAAAAATCACATTGGAATAGGTACCATTCGATAGCTTGAACCTTTAGCTACACACCAGTAAAATTTCATGTGTATATGTGTAAGCATGTGCGAGATATTGCTTCCCACAGCACATTTGCGCCGTACATTTCTTGGAGCGTACAACGCCAGACTTAATTGTGGCGATACTCCAGTATAGAGCAAGCGTCAAACTCACGCATTTATAAGTAGGTTGACAGTCGTTCCCTACTGAAGTAGTCGCTTTTGTGTAGTAGAACAGATTGAGTACTACAACTTTGCCGAAGATACCAAGTCGTTATCTCCTATCAGTAACGCGAAAAATGATAAGAGGAATCTCGCGTTCTTCGCGGTTTTTTGCGTAACTAATAAGAGATAACGAAATAAAGCATGTAAAAATTTGTAGCACCCGAGGTCCCTTACAACTTTGCTGAAGACAGATGTCACCTAACTTTTATCAGTCAGGCAAAAAAAATTATCAAAAACCCCATATGATGGGAGACTTTTCGCGGTTTTTCGCGTATATTGCGTAACTGATATGAGATGAGCGATATATGGCAAAGTTGTAGCGCCGACTGAGTACTATAACTTTGCCGAAAACACCAAGTCGTTATCTCTTATCATTAACTGATAAGAGATAACGAATTGGTGTCTTTACAAAAATTGTAGTACTTGACCTGGTCTACAACTTTGCTCAAGACACACAACATTTATATCTTATAAATTCCGTGAACAATGAGACGCCGAGATTCACGTTTTCGCAGTTTTTCGCATATTTCGCGGAACTGATGAGAGACAAGCAATATGTGTCTTAAGCAAAGTTGTTGAGCGGGTCAAGTACAATAACTTTGCCGAAGACACTATGTCGCTATCACGGTGGACGGTATACCTGACTATAGTCCGACAAGTGATGCTCCATAGAGTGTGCATTTCAAGCCAAATGTCAAAAGTGCCAGTTTTTGCGTCACGACTATATTTATATATATACAGTAGGTATGCTATTCTCTCAGGACACTATTTGAGCCCGGCATGCTGGGTACCGTTGGAAAGGTCTTGGCCCAAATAGTCGAAAACTCCTTATCCTCCATGCCTAAAGTATGGTCCAGTGCGTTTGGCAATGTCTCAACAACTTCACAGTTAGATTTCAGTTGGCGCAAATCCTTTTTTTCGATTTTTTCATTCTTTTGCAAAATTTACACTTGGTGAATTCGAAAATGTGGGCCACTTTTCTCATTTTCCCACCAAAACAAAGCTCCAAGCCAATTTTCAGCCAAATCGGCGACCCCACATTACAATTCTTCTCTGATTTCGTGTGGAATTGCCGACGTATGAAATCCATCATTTTATCTCTTTTCATTATTTCTGTTCAACAAGACTTGTGCAAACTTGGAATGACTGATTGATATCAACATTGTTTTCATAAAAACCATTTTTATGTTGTCTGTACATTTCGATATATTGATATTGTTTGATAAAGTGTATAAAAAAAAAAAATTAAATATCATTCAAAAATCTTAAAAATATCAGATTTTAACCTCATCTAGAGGTTTTTCATCTGATACGTAGAGCACTCCATAAGTTTTTAGAATAGATAAGAAAAAACAAAGATTTATCCTCAAAAATTGCTTTATTGTTTCTCAAAATATTCGCCATGAAGTTTTACATACTTGTCCATGCGCTCAAACCACTGATCAAAACGTTTTTGCCAGTCCGTGTGAGATAGTTCCAAAACATGCTTTTTGAATGCATTAACTGCTTCTTCAGGTGTCGCAAATCGTTGACCACGCAGATTATCTTTGATGAGAGGGAACAAAAAGAAATCGTTGGGTGCTAAATCAGGGCTGTAAGGCGGATGACCCATGATTTCGATGTTTTGAGCGGTCTAAAAGTCAGTTGTTTCATGAGATCTATGAAAGCTCGCATTGCCATGATGCAAAGTGATTTTACGTTTCGGATTAGTTTTTCGTAATACACCAAAGACTTCAGGCAAACAGATGGTTGTATTCCACTCAGAATTGACTGTCCTTCGTCCCTCTAATGGCACAGTAGCTACATAATCTGTTATAGAGAAGAAGCACGCAATCATTTTCTTACCAACACTTCGTCCACGAACAACTTTTGTCGGATTTTCTTCATCTTGGAAGACCCATACAGTCAACTGTTGTTTACTTTCTGGCTCATACTGTTATATCTATGATTCATCACCTGTCACGATGTCGTAGACATGATTTGACGCTCCGCGCTGGTATTTATTCATCATTTCTTTGCACCATTTTACACAATTCTTTTTTTCTTCATCGGTCAATTTATGTGGGATCCAACGTGAACAAAGCTTCCGCAAATGTAAGTGATCGTGCAATATTGAATGTATGCTGTTCCCACCAATGCCTAAGGTTGCCGCAATCTCACGGTATGTCACATGACGATCTTCCTCTATCATATTTTTCACAGCATCAATGTTTTCTGGCGTAACAGCTGTAATTAGACGACCTTCGCGCGGCTCGTCTTTCAGTGATTGCCCTCCACGTTTGAACTCGTTGTACCAATTATATACGCTGGCCATGGATGGTGCTTCGTTACCAAAAGCGGAATGAAGTCGATTAAAACATTCCTGCTGAGATAGCCCCACTCGAAAATCGTAGAAAATCATTGCACGAAAATCTTCGCGAGATAATTCCATTTTTTCACCGAGTTGAAATGTTTAAGTGATCAAAACAAAACAAAGTGAAGTGATTTGACAGTTGACGTCTGAAGAAAGTTCTCGTAAAAAATGTCAAACTTTTCGATTGTCACAGCGATTTGCATCGGA